GCCCGATCACTATCAGCATGTAGTAGCCGCTCCGATTGAACGGCAGCCCGCGTCGCTGCCTTCCTCCTCTACGGCGGTGCTGTAGCCTCTCCTCGGACCCCGGAACGGCCGAGTCCTCGTCCTCCTCCACCACCGGGAGCGCACCTCGCGCGGGCATCTCCATGGCAACAGCCCCCAGAGCCGACGCCGGGGCCGACTCCATCGCCATGACAACTACCGTGTGTGTGTGTGTGTGTGTGTGAGAGAGAGAGAGAGAGAGAAGGGAGGCGCGTGGAAGGGCTGGAGGAGGGGTGAGGAGGGCGGCGTGGACAGATGCAGAGAGGTGAGGGAGCGGGCTGGAGGTGCGGGGGGCGGGGGGACGCCACGGAAAATCACAAATCAGCATTATTTCTAAACAAGAAATAATGCTTGTTTAGAAGCATTATTTTAAATTATACACATTATTTTTAAAATAATGTGTATAAATGCCATAAACATGCAAATGTGCGCTGGTATGACAATTTGTAAAAATGGGAAACTGTCGAACTGGGCTACAAAAAATTATGGCAATCCTCTTATGAATTGTAGGTCTGACCGGCTAAAATGTTGCAAAGATTGCCTTGAAAGTGAGAATGTGTGGAGGGATTGTTCTCAGATCAGGTTACAAACTGCACTTAGTTTGCCCAGATAAGGTTTTCACCAATTACAAAACTTTGTTCAATGGCGTCTAATATGACCTCTTAAATTCCACAAACACAAGTTTAAAGGGGCAGTATTGTGTGTTTTCCAGGCACATGGTGCCATTTTGTAGCATAATCAAGTAACTGTCAACTTTATAAAAAAAAGTCAGATAGATAGATAGATAGATAGATAGATAGATAGATAGATAGATAGATAGATAGATAGATAGATAGATAGATAGATAGATAGATAGATAGATAGATAGAAAATATTATTTAAAATTTTTTACTTCCTAATTTAACACCTTGAAATTGGGCCTCCATCTCTTTAAGAAACTCCTGTTCTTTCTGAAATGGTCCATTCACACCAAATGCGTTTTGAGCGTCAGGTGCATCTGGTCTATGTGGATGCGCGTCGAGGGCTCGTGGAAACGCATCTCGAGCGTCTAGCGCAGCGCAATTCAAATGTACCAAAAGTCTATGTGGAGTGTTGGATGCGCTCAATGCATCAAATGCCCCAAATGGTTCAAACTGCACCACACTAGCCGCTCAAAACACACCGCAATGGCCATTAGCGTGCCTTCGATGCACCTCCACATAGACATTGATGCGCCTGACGCTCAAAACGCAATTGGTGTGAACTCACTGAAACTCCGCCTTCAGAAAGTCATCACAACGTGGCTCCTCTATTAACTCTTTGACAACATTTTTCCAGCGCTACAATGAGAAGCTGGTATAGTGAGCTCAGCAGATGCACAGGTGCACCAGGTGTTTGCTAATTGCTGCTGGCTTGTCTGAAGGAGCTGAGAGGGGGAGTCACGGTGGAGGGCTGCTCTGTCCCTTTAAATAGAAGATGGAGGAGAGGGGAAGATGGACGAGGGTGGAAAAGGGAGGAAGGGGGGAGATGAGAGAGAGAGAGAGAGAAGGAGAGGGAGACACCAACACACATGTTGCACAAAATGAAATCCCACAGTGGGAGCATTTTAATAAACGGTGACATTCTAGATGAAATGCTACGACTGCTTTAAGTAGGATTTATTATTAAACCTGGATCAGACTGCCAGGCATTAAAAAACCCTGAGTCTTCATTTAGGATTCAGATGATATATGAATGTAGCCACTGCTGTGCGATGAATGCACAGGGCTTAATGATGGGGAGAAAGTTGGGGGAAAGAAAACACTCTGTCCTGACTTCAAATGTCTTTTCACGCACACTGAGGGAGACACTGACAAAGGAAGAAAGAGACAATGCATGAGACTTAAAATAGCCTCTTGGCTCTCAGGAAATGAGCCCTCTTCAGCTTCTCTCCTGGCTGATTTGACCTTGGAAAAGTTCGGCTTCCCTGAATGAACTGCCAGCACCACACAGAGAGGATGAGGATCGGGAGTTGCTCTATTCAGGCAGAATTTTTCTAACAGTACAGGGGCGACAAGGGAATGTTGAGGACTGTTGAGGACTTATGTTTGATTAAAATATATGTGTGTGTGTGTGTGGGTGTGTGTGTGTGTGTGCGTGTGTGCGTGCGTGTGTGTGTGTGTGTGTATAAACTTAATATGCAGATTAGATGCACAATAGGTCTGTAAATTAGGTATGATTCATCAACTTAGATATTCAGCTCAGCTGCTTTTGCAAGAGCTCCATGGAAAGGCAAAAATGAACAATCTATAAAATCCTGCTATAGTAGTATGAAGATACCTTGTATGGATTTTTTTTTTCTTTGCCTCAGTCCTAACTTTCTGTCAGTGAGTCAGCACTTCATTGTGTGCGCGGCTACTGCACAGTAGTGCTGCCATCTAGTGGTATAGCCGTGTGTATGAACGCTCTGTCCCAGTGGAGCTCTGAAGCTCTAAAGCGCATCTGTTGGTTAGCGCTGATTCACCAGAGCGTGCAGCGCCCTCTGGTGGCCAATTAAGGCCTTTGTTCAAAAATTGGGAATAAATTTCCGCCACAAAAAGCTCAGAAATTCTTAGATTGATCTCATAAATTCATAAAAAACGTTTATTTTTCTGAAATACTTCATTTAAAAAAGAAAAAAATCGGAGATTTTGAAGCAAGTTTTAAACTTCTAAAAGTTAGAAAATGTAGGTAAAAAAAATAAATTGCAAAACAAATTTGTAGGTTTTGAGAATTATTTTTATAAGTATTTCTTCCACACACAGTGAAATTATTCCATGTCTGTGAAGGACTTGCAACACTGAACGCGCCCCGCTGCCTTAATGGTAACTGGACTTCTTTCTAAAGCCGTATTGAGAAACTTTAGAGTTAACTAATAAACATTTTCATATTAGGGTTGTCTACAAGCTGCAATTAGTCAATAATTATCTATCAATAGGAGAAAAAAAACTGCCTTTCTGCTCAGATAGCTGAGCAGTCTGGATGATGGTTGTGTCTGACATGCAAGAAAAATATAGGAGTGTACAGCCTGGATTGACAGAAAGAGAGCTGAGGTGGCAGCGTCGGGTTAAATTGATATTCCTCCACAGACTCACAGCAGACACAGGTCACGAAGCTCTGGCAATGAACAAAAAGTGTTGGAAATACTGTGAACAGAGTTACAGCAACGTGGTTAAACATGATGCTCTGATCAGTTTTTTGGCTCGTCAGTTTCGATGGATGGCCATTTTGGTAATATTTGCACTTAGGGTAAAATGTGTGAGACGTTCAAGGCTTGGGATATTATTTCATAACCCAACTCTGCTTTAAGGAGTGGGCATTATACGACGTCATATTTGGGTCATTGTAGATGATAATAAAAAATGGAACAGTAAACTCAATTCATTTCAGAAAATTTCTGAGTTTGAGTTTGAAAAGTCAAAGATTTGCTTGAAAATAATGAGGAATGTGTCACAGAAATTGATTTAAACTAAGAAAATGTTTGACTTTTGAATCTCAGAAATTTCCAACTTTTTTCTAGAATATTTCTGAGATTATTCTGAAAATTTTTGGTGAAAATTTACTCTTTTTTTTCTATGTGCAATGACCCCAATATGTTTTGTATTATATTATATTTCCAGGCACGAAGAGCCATTTTGTACTGCAATCAAATTTTGTATTAAAAATAACTGAAATTTGAAATTTGATTTGACCTCTGCCAATTCAGATTGGCAGAGGTCAATCTGAATTGGCCTCTGCTTCTTTAAAAAAGCCTCTCCTCTTTCACCACAGCAATGCTCCTCCATGAGTTAACAACCGTTTAAGAGCGAAGTGGTTCATAAGATGGATGGTACCGGCTAATTACTGGACACAACGGCACACAACAAAACTCAGCTGTACCAGCACCTCGCAGATATTTTAACTTTTGCTCTTGTTCATGGTACAGCTCTTGCAGTTATGGTTAAAAACAATAGGAGCTAGCGGTACCCGGAAACAATCTATGTGGCGAAAATTTAAACGGAAGTATGTCACCACTTCTCGTGGCATATAGGCTATTGCCTATATGCCACTATATAACTCCCTACTATTTACTCAGTTTCCTGGTCTTAATAGAAAATTTTCAGTTATGTTATGTGGAAAAACCCCCCAACAGTTTAAGAGACATGAATACTTTTGTAAAGTAATTTAAATAAAACCTGAACTTTAAATGAGAGCAAAGCATTTTTATTAGATACATTTACTATTGAAATACAAAAGGGACCGAGTCTTTTCCCAGAACAATTCATCCATGTCGAACAAAATGAGGGAAAAAAATCAAATCTTGTATCAGCCACTTATTGAGTGGAAGAAAAAACAATTAGAAATCTGCAAATATTTTGAAAAAAAAAATACTTACAAAAGTTACATCTCAGTTGAGTTTTTAAACAATACATTAAATAACACACACACATGCTTTTTAATATAGGAAATGTGAGAAATGTACAGCGGTGAGGCAATAATTTACATGTCTGCAAGTTCTAACAAGTAAAACAGACACACAAAAATGGCCTACAAAGTCAGAGAACCGTGATTGCTATGAATTATTGGAAAGCTTTGATTGCTAAGAAAATATGTATTTTCTCATTTAAAAAAAGAAAAATCCACTCACAGCAGAACTAATAGCATAAAACAAAGGAACAGAGCAGATCAGACTGTCTGCTTCTAAATGATTGAATTGGGATGGACTGTATGAGCTGCTGTCAGTGTAACTGGGAATATTTCATATTTTTCCATAATCCAGCCGCAGTTGCTTCAAAAAGCGGTGAAATGATGCGTAAAAATGAATAAAAATAATCAGAAAAATCAATCCTAAAGTAAAAAAAAAAAAAAAAAATCGCATTAGAGTCTGAAACTTCGTCAAAGCTCTGCTAATTCTGCTTTCTGTTGCCAAGTTACATTCATGTAAAACCCCCACAGAGCAGAGCGAGTTTGCTGACCGATTCAAAATCTATATTTACAGTAATGTCCATGTTGAAGCAAATACAACAAAACACGGCTTATTTTCCATAATTCTGCAGATTCTGAGACAAAACAAGTTAGATCAATGACAAAACAAAACACTTCATCTCTGTTATATTCAGGATCCACCTTTAGTGGACAAACACCCTGCTCCCACATGGAACCGGCCTGTCTCTCTCACACACACACACACACACACACAAACATAAGAGCATTGTCAGAAAACATATACAAAGCAGAGGCATGCTGAAATGGACATCGTTAATCTTCATTTGTGTCTTCCTCTCTAGTTTTTATTTGATGACTGACTTTCCCCTCAGCTGCTCTTCTCACACACACACACACACACACAGCTGGATGTCGTCACTTGGCTGCAGACGCAGAAACCAGAAACTACGGTGAGCGTTGATTTGAGCTCAGTCGGCCTTTTAGTTGTTTCCCTGGAAGGTTCCGCGGGCGGCAGCGGACGCTGCTCCGGTGGCTGCCGTCTGGAAGCCCTTGCTGGTGACCACGCCCTGGGAGAACTCCTGCTGGGCCTTCTGGAAACTGGCCCCGGTGCGGCGGTACATACTGTGGACCTGAAGACGGGAGAGGTACGGCATTAATTATTTAACTACGCAACAGAAAACCTGCATCAAATCCTCTCCTCAGACTCTCCATTTATTGTATCGCTTATCATTTATCATGAAAAATTTCTTGCCATGAGAAGATGTTTATCATTTTCATGAAAACTAATTTTTTTTAAATATTAGTAAATCTGGATATTTGATTAACTACAGTCTCCATGTGCAGTTTAACTGGTGCCTTGAAGTTTCAAATAAGAACAGAATTTGTTTGTGGAGCGATGAATGCTGTGGTTTGCAGTCCCAACCAGACAGATACCTAAAAAAAATAAATAGTTGTTTTAGTCATCGGATTAGCACTGGACAATATCACAATAAAATTCTAAGTCCGTATCGCCTGTCCCTCCCTCCAATCTGTGGCGTGAGGCAGTGGGAAGTGTTTGGGTTGGAGGACAGAGATTTCAGCTATTGACAAAAGCTAATGTTTCCATAGAAACCACCATGGAAAATTATGAATCTGTTTAATCTATTCACAACTTTTTCAAGATGCTGTTTGTTCACCAATGTTTGTCAGAATAAATCGGATTCAATCTTTTGAAGAATTTTTTCTGGCATTATTTTTGTTTTTTCTTTTTAGATTTGTTGAAGTTCTCCATATTGCCAAAAGTTATATTAAATCTGCGCACGTCCAAATATGTAATAAAAACATGCGGTTATTGTATGGTGACCTAATTCTTCTCACCTGATTGGAAGTTGTTAAACAATGGAAAGAAATGAAACAAAAAAAACATATCCTTCTGCGAATTGAGCCTTCATTCACACAGCAGGAAAATGCGACACAAATTTTGTTTTGCTCGTACACCCGACTTTTTCATGACAGTCCGAACGACCCAATTCCGATCTTTTGACCCCCTCCAAAACATCCGATTTGAGCCAAATCCATTTGTGGTACTAAATTGGTTATGTGTCCAAAGCGTTTGCAGTCTGAACGGTCATGACACATTTCATCCGACTGTTACGTTGTACGTAATAGTCGGACAGTTGTAATGTTCAAAGAAAACATTGCTGAAATGGTAAAGCAGAGCTGTCTAAAATAAACCGAGGTCTTACCATCTTCAGCAGGACGACAGACATCACGGCCCCGATCGTGAAGAGGCAGGCCACGATGATCATGATGCCTCCCACCGCTTTTTTGCCGTTGCCGATCTCAGAGAAGGCAGAAATCCAACCGCTGGATCAACCACACAAACAAACAGCTGTTATGTCTTAAGCTTCGCTTTTAACACAGAAACGCAGAAACAAGCAGTACATATCCTAAACATGTGTTATCTTAGGTTGTATTTATATACATTTTTAAAAAGTTGCAAATACCCCACAAAAAAACTATACAAAAAAGCAAAAAGACCACCAATTTAATCAGATTTTAAGACATTAGAAGTAGAGAAACAAAAAAAGGTGAAATATTAAAATGTTGGGGGTTTAGAGTTAATTTCAAGTGAAAAACCTTGAAAATGTATCCAATTAGTCAACCTGGTGTGCACATTGCAGGCTGTAGTGACAGAAATACAATCTACATGTGAAAATTAAACATTAGGATGTTTGACAGATATCAATAAAAACAGACTAAGGATGAAGATGTAGGGAAGCAATTTTGGTAAATTATAGGTTTGCTAAGTAATATTTCATTTTTGTTTTCATTTTGTATTGTTGGTAATTTGCCAAAATAAAGTGAAGCAAACTGAACTAATTTACAGTGAAAATAAAAATAAAATGTCAGAAAAAAACAAAAACTCCACATATAAGAAACAAAACTTTCATATCCAGTTCGAAGAGAAGGAAGAATCAAACACTACAATGTGTATTTCGGTCCAGAACGTAGAATCCAAACATGTCCCAAGTTTTTACGGCACAATACAAATCCAACAGAAACTCCCAAAAATTAAGAAAACACACAAAGAAGCAGCAGAAACTTACAGGGTGACCAGGAGACACAGAGACTGAAGAAAGAAAAGAGTCTGTCAGAAAACATGAAACAAGATCAGGAAGAGGAGGGAGAAGACAACGAGGAGGGACAAATGGTTGAACTGGAGTTGGTCAGAAAACCATTAAAACATGTTTAATGCAGCAATTAAAATTATTTGATTGTATACCTTTGAGTTATATGAATCTGTGTGAACTATTATATTACTAAGAAAAAACATACAAAAAGTCAATTTAATGATTATTTTTAAAAGCTTTATAAACCTGGCAGATGTTGGAATAAACAAATGAGAATCTCAGCAGCTGCAGTGTTCGGTCAGAATATAATCTGTATTCCTTTTACATTATTTTGGTAATCGATTGTTGTATCAATTATTTTAACAACTAATCAATTAATCGTATTTTAAAAATTCTGCAGGTTTTTCATTTAAGCCTTTTTAAATACAAAATTAAAAAATATGTAGAGATGTAAATAATTTAATTCCTTGTTTAGATGAGAAAATAAACATTTTATTGCCTGGAACAGCAATAACGGCATTCCTTCAGTGAACGATTAATCGTTTGTAGGAAAGGAAGCCCCTGCAGCTAAAACACTCTTAACATCGACATGTGAAACGCTCAGTCCTTTCTGCTTCACTTAATGTCAATAAAATGTAGGGCTAACAGGTTTTTAATGACTGACAACAAAATGTGCTCAATAGAAGATTTTATTTACTGAATTTGAATCTGGTGATGCTAAAATTACTGAGAGGAGTTCTGGGCAGAGAGTGTTTACAGACAAAAAAGTTAGTTTTTTTTTATCTTAAATGCAAAATTTAGATATTTTTGGGACAGTTTTGGTTTCATTACTGCTCTGAGTTTGTTGTTCTTAATTCTTCATACTCCAGTTAACGATTAATCGATTGATAAATTAGTTGACAATTAATTCACTAACCAATTAATCACGACTAATCATTTTAGCACCAATTCATTTCAGTGACTCGTACAAAAAATTCACCTAATTTCAAAAAGATCCAACATACTCAGCTTTAAACTTTTATTTTGTCACTTCAAAATCTTTCAGGATTAGAATTAAACATTTCAGTTTTCATGAAAGTTGTGTTTGTAAAGCTAAATTAGTAATTAAATTTAGCCTGAACATAACTCCTGTGCAGCAGCCATGAAAATGTTTCATCAATTTCATCTGACCATAATTGTGGTTTTTGCGGTTTCTCACCTGTTTCCCCAGAAGGGGATGCCCACAGCCTGGATGATGACGACGGCCACATGGCAGAAAAACACAAAGAAGAAGAAGAAGAAGTTGAAGGAGCTGTCGCTCCTAAACGAGAAGAAAAAAAAAAAAGTTATCTTAAATCTTAGTGCTTTGGGTTCAGAAGACAATTTAAGACACATTATTTTACTTATTGCATGAGTAAAATACAAGCCTATTAGCCTATAGCCTATTAGTCTTGCCACGACAAAAAAATGAGATCTGTGATTAAGGAACTTCATTTAAGATACATGACTTTAATACTAAAAGGCTTTAAATTACATGAATTTAGGAGTTTTTTAAGGTTTAAGATACACGAATTTAATACTTTTTAAGGATGTGTCGACATCTGCGACAGACAGATGGTGGTTTGATACTCCAACATGTTGGAAGTCTGTGACCTCCTGGCGAGAGAGTCTGAGGAATCCTGCCGTTCTTCTGCGTTGTTGATATTACGGATAACCTCAGGGTTTCCCGTACCAGTGGTTAAGCTTACCTGAAGGCCTTGTAGACTGGCCGGTACCAGCAGAGGAAGGAGCAGGGCGTGAAGAGAACGAGCCAGAGGATGGAGAGGCCGAAGTCGACTCCATGTTTTGTGTCATCGATGAAGTAGGCCAGACACGCCAGCAGGTTGAGGAACAGAGTCACAGAGTAAACTGGAGGAAACAGGCAGCAAGGTGAGCAAACAATGAACACGTAAAACATTCAGTGCATTTAGTTAACCATGAGCATCAACACACCAGGACACATTTCTACAATGAGAGATTCCACATACATAAGGGACTTTATGATGCTTCTTTATTTTTTTTAAACCAGAACCTTTGTTTTCCATTTCTAATGCGCCTGTAAATCTGACGCACAAGCAACATCTGCCAATAACAGCGATGGACGACAAAGTCGCTTCTTGACCCGCTGGACGTTCATTTATGCTTCAAAAACATGATCTGATTGCATGCTGGATAAGACTATTGTTGAGTGTAACTTGTGCTAAAAGGAGTTAGCTTATTAGTCTAGAATAGCATCTCAACGTGGCAGCAGCACAGACGTCCCCAATGCTAATGTCAGCGTCCACAGTGCACATTTCTAAAGAAGCATTTTTTTTTTTCAAATTAGTTCCATGAGTGAAAAACTGAAGCTGAATGAGTATAATAACACTTTGCACCAATCTAATGGTTGGACAACCTAAATAACAGATTAAAACACTAAATATCTTTGCTGTTGAGCTCACACATCTATTTATTCAATAATTTAGCATCAAAAAGGGGTTTGGAATTGAAAACGTTGCTTATTTTTGTTAATTTCTTTGATTAAAATGGGTTTAATTTATTACAGATTCCAAATTATTAACTAATCGAGCTGCACCATTAATGAAAACATAAAACACTTACACATCCACAGGTAGTACATCATTTTGCAGACTCTCTGGTACTCGGCAGGGATTTCCTCTGAGAAGTCCTGATAGAAACAAGGTTGGATGGGGAAGAACTTGGGAAGTGGAGGCCAGTTGTTCTCTTTACCTGTCGACACAGAATAACGTCAGTCTAACGGCAGACACAACTCAACACAAAGCTGCACTGAGTAGCCTTTGTACCAAATACTCTTTTTACTTTTACTGGAGCAAAAACATGTTGAATTTCTGCTGCTGTCACTAGAGGACAAAGTTAGGCTCCTCTACCCATCCCTGCTTTTTTAAAACCCCATTTAAATGCTTCACATGCCTGCAGGACATATTTTAAACACTAGAGGGTGCAAACCTTAAGATTGGCAAACCCAAAAAGCTTTGCACAGAAAACCAACATAATGTAGGTCAGCATTTAGTCAACAGACATGGAATAGTGGCGACTATGACAGAGTAATAGGGCTGAAAAAGGAAAAGAAAAAAGAAAAAGGAGGACAACATTTCAGGCAAAAGAAAAAAAATTGAAACTGAGATTTATTTCCAAAGATCTAACGTTTTCAACTTTTGAAGCTAACAACATTTCCAAAAGTCAAACATTTTTGACATTTGGAAACTAAAACTTGCAACACTTTTCCAGAAGTTTTTTTTTCTTTTTTTGCAGAAAATTTCTCCCGTTTCTTTTTACTTTTTAGATCTACGATGGCCCTAACACGCTGTCGTCTTAAACGGGTGGATTATTTATTCCGTTCCTTATGTCTAAGTGGGAACTTCAGGTGAGCACAGCGCCGCTCAGAGGGCAGTTTTTCATATCCTGAGCTCAGGTATGAAAGTTATCTCAAGCATCCTCTCTGCAGCAGAATGCAGACGCTGCATGTCTTCCTGTCTCGGTAAACTGTGCTGCTTGCTGCTGTGGGGAGGCTGTGTCTGTAAGGACCTGTGGGGGCCCGGTTCTGCAGCTCCTGCTCCCTGCGGTCCAGTTCGGCTGCTTTCCTCTCCAGCTCTTCCTGCTGCCTCAGCAGGTTGGCCTGAGCTGCGGCGGCAGACGCCTGGAGGAAATGGAGACAGAAAGGAAGAAAGAAAAACACAGAGGGGCTTAAAATCTTGACTCTACAAACGCGACAAGAGGCAAAAAGGAAAAGTGGATTTTGGTGACAATTGAGGGTTTTTGCAGCTTGTGTGTGAAATTTCACATGCATCTGGTGCAAACAGGAGGCTTTACAAGCAACAATGTGAAACTGGTGATCGACTTGTCATTCAGACCTGTGTAATGATTCAGAACCGTCTTAGTCAGAAGGAAGAACTGAGAAATGAAACTAAAGGCAGCACATCTTGGTAGGCGACAGAGGTCATGTTAACGGAATATTTTCTGTATTTGACTGTTTTGTTTGAGGTTTTTTTAAACAATGGGAAAATTTGAAGCCCGTGTGTCATTTGACAGGTTATAATTCATTGACATGAGCAGACATTACAGACTATACAAACAGTAAAGAGCAACTAAAAATAATCAATAAAAAAAAATCCATTCTGAATATCATCTCATGGACTCTGAACTAAAGGCATCTTTCTGACAGCGTGTTGAAGAGTTATGGACCGTCTGGTTCAGAAGCACTTTCCAAACCTTTGGTTGAAATGGTTTTTAATTCCAGTCTCCATTACAGACCAGAGAAAACTACAGAGAATGCAACGTTGAGTTAATCAATTTATAGTCTAAACAGAGGAGCCGACAGTTTATCTTGAGGAAATAAATGATGGTGCAGAAGTTAATTAGACCGTAACAAGCGCAGTGCGCTGCACAATTGAGCCAACATATCAATATACCAAATCAGTATCTGTATGGGATCAATACTAGTGTGGTAAGATTGGTACTTTACTTTCAGATTCCCTTTTTATTTCATTTTATCTTTGTGCTGTAGCTTAAAAAATAAGATTGTTTTGATTTTTTTCTCAAATTATAATTTTACTTTTACTTTGTTCATTTAGTGAAGAACAGAAATCAGTTTTGTTGCCTTTTTCTTTCAATCATTTTCACCAACAACCTTCCACTGAATGTTTTTTAAAATGTTTGTTTTTGTTGTTTTAAAACCTAAAAACAGAAAGAAAATGTTGGTTCTTTAAAAACGACTATAATTCTCTGATAGTAGATATTTATTTAAAAAAAGAAAGACATTTAAAATGGCTCTCTGGTTTGCAATGGTTGCAAACTTTGACAAACTAAAGTGAAGGTTTGTAAAATTTTACAAATGTTTACTCATGTTTATAAACAAAAAAAGGGTTCGTAAATGTTTACAAACCTTTAATTTGGTTTACAAACATTAATAAAGTTTACAAACCTTTACTTTGTAAACCAAAGGAAATGTTTACAAAGAGTTACTGTGTTTACCAGAGTAATATTATCCTAGCACACAACCTTTACTTTGTTTGTAAAGGTTTATTAAAACCCTTACAAACCTTTACAATGGGTTTACAAACCTTTATAAACTAATTTTTGTTTACAAACCTCTACTTTGGTAAACTAAGGTTTACTTGGATTGTAACCTGCAACCCTGACAAGCTACATGTGAAGTTTGTGATTATAAAGTGAGACATTGTTCACATCATCTCACCATTATTGTTCTCTCTGTTCACTTTATTGTCCCCAGTGTTTGTTTTGTGATAAAGCTGAAGCAGCTGCATAAAACAATTAGAGTGTTAATGAACTGCAGACGACACGTGAACAGGAACAGGACAGAGGGAAGTCGGCCAGCTCCGACTAACGCGACAACGTGTCCTCACCTGTGGACTGGGTTCTGTGGACGGCTGCAACACGGCCGGCTGGTAGGGGGCGGTGGAGGCCGGGGTCGTCTGAGCTCCGGCAAAGTCCTGACAGAAAAAAAAAAAAAAAACAGATAATAAAAAATAAACAGCTGATGCAAAGAGAAAAGATTAAAGCTAAGGGATGGGGAAAAACGTTTGAAAGTGAAGGCAAATATAAGGAAGAACCAGAGAAGAGGAGGAAGAAAAAAGAAGCTCATTTTACTGAATGAGTCAAGCAAATTCAAAAATAATTGACAGAATGTTGAAAAATAATCTGAACAAAAAGGCAGAGAAATATTAAACGGATAAATGATTTTTACTCTTTCGGGTTCCAGAAGGCTGGAGAGTATTTTCAGGAATTATAGAATTTAAATCATACAAAATTTCATGTATACATTATTTTAGTGTACACAATTTTAAGAAAAACTTCATATTACATTCTATTTCCATTAATTCTACAGTCATAAAGACACATTTCCTTACAGTAAATTATGAACAGAAGATAGAAAATGATTTCAACTCCTCAGTGACTGTATTTGGTTACGAAACAATCAAAATGGAGGAGGAGCAATTACCGCATAGTAACCACATTTTTACTTAGTCATCTAGTCTTAACATTTAGGGGACATTTTTTAAAAACTTAACTAAAAAAAAAAAAAAAAAAAAAAAGATGTCTTACACTGGATGGGGGGAAGGGGTTATACTGGTCAACCGGTTCAATGCTGGAGTTTGTCACCTGAGTGACTGAAGGATCCTGAAAAACACATAGAGACGTCACTACATATCAATAACAGATACACAAAACTGATCACTGTGCTGTGCAATCACCAAATAGATCCGACAAGAGCAGGCTTGACTGGAACAATCATACTGAAAGTATGATGCCAAAAAGATGAAAAAACAACATATTTTTACATCTTATTTTGAGGGGAAAACACCAAATGGCAGACTGATTTCCATTTATGGCCAGGCCATAAAGTAAATCAGAGCCTCTTGCTATTGTAGCCTGAACCTGCGGAGGCTCAGATCAATCATTAGCTTTGGCAGAAGTATCGGTACTCATTAAATGGCTTTTGTTTCAGGGATGGCAAAATGCAAAACAAAGGTTGAAAGGCCCTTCGTCTGAGTTGGAGGAAATTTTAAGCAGTTAGTGGATCATTTAAGTTGTAATTTGGAGCCATTTATGGAACAAATACAAGAACTTTATATACACACACACACATATATATATATATATATATATATATACACATACATATAAACAAACTACAGGTTTTTGTTAATTATTTTTGCTTAATTTTTTAAGTTAATGTGAAATGTGTTTCTCATTTGTTTCTGCATTTAAAACTTTTTCCCCATAATTCAAGCTTGAGGCTAAAGTGACGTTTGAATCGTACTGCAAAATAAGCGATAAAATGTTTTCTTATTTAAAAAAAAAATGAACTGAATTGTTTTTACTAGCATTTTCTTACTAGCTTAAGTTGCTATCACAGTACGGGACAATCTTTTTATGCGATTACTAGATTAATCGTCAAAATAAATCAATCAATTAAAACAATTGCTTACAACAGCCTTACGATGACGTGGTGGTTTATTCGATATTTTGCTTATGTCTATGTATCAAAAATCTACAAATTATGTCCTATTATAAAATAATAGTATTTGTCAGCTGTCCAAATAATTATTTGATTTTCTGTTTTAAATTACAAAAATTCAATCATTTGATGGAACTCTGGTATTTTTTTATTCAAGATCCACATCCTGTGATAATCTCATGGATCCAAAATTATTCATGTGAATAATCTTTCAGCTGTGACCCCGTGACCTCTGGTATTCTGTAGGAGTTGGGGACTTTAAATGTTCTTGACACTCCCAGTTAGTCACACCCATAAAACTCACACTATGACATGTTGATGGAACCATGTGTCTGACTCAGGGCTTCCCACAGCCTGGCGGGCCACCAGGCTTTACCTGCTCCCCCACCAGGCTAAGGTTTGTTTTTTTCATATAGGCTTATTTAGACACCAGTAACAGTGACAGCAGAGGTATGTTAACAAATGTCTTTGGTGAAACAGTAACATAGTTTGGACAGTATGTGAACATAGAGAGACTGAGGTCAAGTGTCTTTTCTATTCACTGGATCTACGTAACAACCGTCTGTTTTTACCGCTCTACACGCTAAGCGAATAATGCGACAACTATACGGAAAAAGCATGAAAAATTTTTTAACACTTTAATTATTATTTTTTTTTATTAGTTGGTGTTTAGGTGTTGTTTTTAATGTCTTCCTATAACAATGCAACTAAATAGTCTTATTTTCAAATTTCCTGTCAACTTTAAATATTTTTCAATTCAAAAACAGGGTGTGCTGCTGGATGGCCGCCTATGGCCTGGCTTAGCAAGTTTTCTGCTTAGTGTTAAAAAAAGAAACAACCCTTTTTAAAATCACATTTCACAAAGAAAACGTGTCAAAATAACTGCTTGAATCCAGTCATGTTACGACGGCAGCGTCACACTTTATGACGTCCATAAAGTGGAGGGCGGCTGTGATGTCAGCGGTGACCTGTGTTTGTGGATGGCTGGAGAAGCGGCTGAATAAACAGCGGCCGGCGTAAGTCCTTGAATTACTGAAACGGTACATATATATACAAGCCATGTTATGCTTTTATATTGTCTTCCATTAACATTTCACCTGAGAAAATTCACATTTCTATCCCTTAAAGTCTAAAACTAGTCATGTGATTCCACCTTCGCTCCAGTGCTGTACGTTTACAGCATGAAGAAGTAAATAACAGAGATATCCTAGTGGAGTGCTGACTTGGGAACAGCCACACCCTGATTATAAGCATTATCAAAACCATTCCTGCTTCCTGGTGCGGTGATGTTTGAATATCAGCCCGTCTTGTTCGAGGAAAGGTTTTTGTATTTTAGCATCCAGTGAAGTTGCAGCCTTTGCAGTTTGTGGGGTTTTTTGTTGTTGTTGTTTTTACATGCCTCACATTAGTCCTCATTTAAAGAGGATTGGCCTACGGTTTTCATCTGGTTCCTCATCGTTTCCGTCTGAGCGCTGTAATCACACAGCAAGAGCACATCCAGTTTCCTTTTGTTTTTCTTTCTACTTCAATACCATTTAACACAGTTTGTTCTGTTGATAACGGCTCTAAAATACAGCACTTACACAATATAAGAAATTGACTCTGATTTTGGTAATCATTTTATACTTTAACTTTTTTTTACTGGTAAAAGCTTGAAAACTTTTACCTTAATTTGTTAGCTCTCAGCTTGAATTCACCTTATTCTGAAATTGTTACACATTTTTTCATCTAATTCATGTTAGGATCATATTACATGATCCTAACATGGACACTTTGGACACTTTGGTCCAAAAACGAAAGGCTCACTCTAAAAAGAAAAAAAAAAAAAGAAGCCAAACAATGTTTTGTGTTTTACTTTTGCCACACTCCCATCTGCATAATGCTCCAAACACATGGAGAGAGAGACGAACTGCTCCTGTTCCTGATGGGAATGTTTACAGGTGTGTCGGCTGCAGCGAGCTGTGACCTCATGCTAGAGTCACATGGCCAGTGAGTGACGTGTCGGCTTGTCTTGTGTTTTATTCATTATTCACACATTTCTGAGGAGGAAAATTAATGTAGAAGATAACAGAAACTGAACTTAACCACCCCTACCCTGAATAAAAAAGAAAGAAAGAAAATGAAGCAGAGCCTCAAGGATGTTGCGATGCGTTTATGTGATTATTGCGGCCTAAAATGACGGATTTTATGGTAGCCTTTTCAACAAAGTTGTGCTTTTTTTTCTATTGCTTTATTTTTGCAGTGACAGGATTTAAAAATGGTTAATATTCAAAGTTTAAAATACATTCTCGTATTGAAATGGCTTACAAATAAAATTATGTTCTGAGGAGTTGTCAAAGTGTAAAAGAAGAATTCAGTATTTGTCATATTAGCGTTTAGCGCAGTGGCATCCAAACTTTTTGCCATTAGGGCCAAAATTGTTACTTTTTTTCTGAACATATTGCTAACTAATATACTACACAGAGAATATTTTAATAAAGCAACATAGTCTGAAGTTTGCGGAAAAGGAATCTGTATGTGTCTCAAAGAGTTGCTGCGTTAAAAACTTTCGAAAACTTTTTTTGGGGTTTATTGTCTTCATTTTTTCTGTGATCATGGGCCGAGTGGCCAAACAAAATCAAGAGGCCTGAAAATGGCCCGTGGACCACACTTTGAACTTCCCTGGTTTAGTGTCACTGTTTTTATCTTGCAGGCTTTGCTTTCGAGAGGCGTCGTGAAACAGGAAGTTAAATAAATATCGGGATTTGTCAAAATTCAGCTGAGTTGCAGCAACTGGTCAGAAAAGAAGGAAATACAGAAAATACTACGGTGATTGGTGAGATTTGCAGACAGGTTGCGATGACTGGTGAAAATTGTGCGTGTTAGCCCAAATAAATTCTTACTACAGAATGAGAAGAAGCTGGTTGTTAAAAATAGTCAGTGAAATCTGAAAAATGTGTGTGATTTTACATAACGGCACCATGTATCATGGAAACCCCTGGGTAGCCAAAAATGTCTGAGTCCAACGCATACAAACCAACCTTTTTTTTTACTGGTCTTACAATCCATACAGAATGTAGAATATGCATTAGAGCGTGGAATACATGAAACATAAATTGGGAGTTCAAGATGTCAGGACCAAGCCTGGCTCCCTGGTTAATAATTTATGTTGCTAGCAATCTAAACAATGCAATCATCAGTTCCATTTAAAATACTTCTTCACATGGCATAAGCAATGAAAAAAAAACTTTACACTGTTATTAAAAAGTCACATTAATAACAAATGGTGTTATTGGACTAGTTTCCTGTGATAAGTACACTTCCATACACACAAACTCTTCCTTTGGTTGATGGGTTAATTGATCTACTTCTGATCAACGGATAATAATACAATTGAGTACATCTGGAGAGTTTATTCTCAACCTGAATAAACTATATACATGAATATACCAAAATTTAATTATTATTTTTTGAGTAGTGAATTAACCTGCATCTTACAACCTGTTTGTTAGGAACTTGCTTCATGGAGCAAATGAGCATTAGAAGCTTGGCTGATAATTAACAAATTTTAAAATGTCCAAAAAAAAAATCTATAATTCGTGTTAAAGCTACAAATATTTATAGAATTTGACTTGAAAATAAAGAGTAATAGTGGCAATGAATTTTAAAATAGCTTGACACACATTCTTGGTTGGCTACAGTTTAACTTCCTGAAAGTCAACTCTGAGGGTAAACCGCCTTCTCCGGCGACGTACCGCGCTGATTGGCTAAGCAACTGCCAATCCTTCGGGGTTGGCCAATGGCTTTCCAGAAGCGGGGAAATACGTCCCTCCCCCCCTCACCCACCCAGCTACAGCTGCGTTTCCTGGCGTGCTGGCAGCCTTGTAACGAAAGAGCTCCCTGCAGCCGCCCCCGACAGCACTTCATCTAGCAACAAGTAATTAAACCGCTCACTTACATTGAATGGGTTAATGTTGCTGGGTTCCGCGAAGGGGTTGGTATCAAACTCCGACATTTTGGAAGAATGGCGAGGCGTTTATCCTCTGGAATAAAGTCAACAACAAACTCTTCTCTGTCCGCTTCAGAATCTGCCCGTCCTACCCACTTCCTCGAATGAACTTGAAGGCGCAGGCGCACTGAGATTTCGGCATAATGACGTGTCCTGCGTCATGTGTCATAAGTGCGCTTCCTTAAAAATACTGATAAAGATAAATAAGTGTAGTTCTTTGTTCTAAATATTTGTTCAACTAATGTATTCTTAAGAAATAAAGAATATTTGTTTGTCTTTCGAGTGTGCACCAGTGACTACTGTTACGGTAAAATGGAAGATTATTTACACCATTTTGATTTGACTGACTTTTATATTTCTTAATAAATATGTAAACCTAACAAAAATGACGCTGAACAGTCTTATTCTGATGAAAGGACAAATACTTGAAAAATACAAAGTAGAAATTTAAGCATAAACGATAAAGACTTAAAATTTTGGCCACCACGTGTCAGTAAAACTGTTTCGCAGTTCCTTGGCACTTTGCTAGGGGGAGTGTCACCTGAATCTGTAGTAGTAACATCAACCTTGTCTATTTGTTAGATAAAGTCATCGTTAAAAGAGAGTGATTATTATATTGGTTAAGCTGTCTAAACATACAGCTACAAAAAGATATCTTATTATTCGAGGAAGAGGAGCCACATTTTTTTTTATTACCATCCTTGACATACCGTATACTGTACACGCATAAATAGGATCTGAACAGATTCATGGAACAACTTGCTTTTATCAAAATATAACCAAAGTAAGTCTTGAAGAAAATTTTTAATCTTTGCGTAAACAATACGCAAAAGATTATTTGTTAGAAACATTGTATTGTGAATTGCATCTTATTGGTTATCACAATTTCTGCCTTCTTCATTTTCTCTGGTGGAAAGAGTTTTCATAGTAATGCTCAGTTGGGAGCACCTGCCATGACAGGATTTCGGTACAAATATGACTTATTTGTACAAATAGGACCTAACTTTTATACATTTATAACTGTTGTCTCTTTTCAAAAAAAGAGACAACATTGAATTCAGTGTTGAAAGTACCTAAAAGTAGTAGCCCAATAGCTTTGAACAACTTGAATTTTTCCCAGTATTTTATTTTTCCCTGCTCTTAGGGAGCAGGGAATATTTTATTTAACAACATATAGTATGTAAGTGCATGTCAACATAATCGATTCTAATAAGAAAAAAAAATCCCTAAATTATATTAGATGCAGGGAGAATGTATGAGTTTTTATTTTAACAAATAATAACCAAATAAAGTGTAATAACACCAAGAAAAAAATAAAAAAAGGCCACGGAGGCGGTCATTGAGCGGTGACGTCAGCAACGTGCAGCCTGTCGACGTCGCAGCCATGGAGGAAGTAAGAGGTGAGGTGGATTGTCCTCATTCAAATCAAATCTGCTTCAAATCATCGCTTTTATAGATTTATGTTGAGGTCGCTGGTTCTATTTTAAACCACGTAATACTTAAGGCGGGTTGTGTTATTTAACGTGCATCCTTTTGTTAAGTCGGCGTTCTGTGTTTTATCGTAAGCAGGCAGACATACTCCTGTGTGAAACCGACTCTGGTAGCACTTAAACAAAAAACAATAGTAGATGTCACGGCTCCATATTGTGAAGCAGGTATTTTAGGGACATTTGGCTGATAGAAGCAACGCGGTGTAAATTTGAGACATGCTCGCGCTTGGCAAAGACCCCATTTATTACTGCTCGGTGTTTTATCGACTTACGTACCCCCGTTAATTCAGTTCCCTTGTTCAACTGAATGAGAACATCAGCTTATGGAATCCAGTCAGTATTTGCAATTAGAAACGCTGCCTTCTCTTTGCCAATTAATTGTCAAAAGTAATTTCGGTATTTGTTTCTTGTTTTGTTGGTACAATTTAGCCAACACATTACGTCAGAGAGGTTAAAAACTGAAGAAATTCGTCGAAAGACACGCTGAAAATGATGAAACTTAGCTAATGAAAAATTAATGCACACTCGTATAAAGAATGATAATGTAGAAATCAAATAATTTTAGGAACTTAAAGTATAAAGAAAGCTCAAAATATTTGTTTAAATCTGTGATTAAAAGGAGTAGAAACGTCGTTAAACACCAGAAGCAATTTGGATTTGCATTAACGGAAGAAAACATCTTCAACACTACAAGTATTACTGAACATTGCAAAGATTATATTGATATATATTTCCTTCCTTTTTTGTTTCATCAGTGTTATTACACAAAATAACCCACAGTTACACTGTGTGTAATTGTGCACAGTAGTGCACAGTTACTGTGTGCACTAAAATGGACAGAGTAACTGCATCTAATTATATTTTCATTGCTAGATTTAGCACTTAGATCATTAAAAAATTTACATTAAACTGGAGTATTGAGAGCTATGAAAGTGCACCCAGTATGCCAAATATGTTATTGCCATGCAGCCTTTGTATAAGCCAATAACATAATTGAAAAAGCTAACGAAAGGCTGTTCTTTAGTTGCTAGAAGTGTTTGACTTTTTAGTCTAAGATAGAACCAATAAATATTGGACTTTAGAGTAAAATAGATGATGTTCTCTCCTCAGTGTTTCCCCTGACCTGTGCAGTTCAAAACTATGCATGGGGAAAGATTGGGCTGGACAGTGAGGTGGCCAAACTGGTGGTTGGCGGAGACCCCGTGGCAGTCATAGAGCGGGACAAACCCTATGCAGAGGTAAGAAGGGCTTAATGGAAAAAGGAAATCTTTTTATGTAAACGGAATAAAAACAAACAAACAGATTTTAATTAACTGTCTTGCTGGCAAATAAACAGGTTTTCATTTCAATGTGAGGAATATCACTTGCAATTTGGCACTGACACTTAGAAAATGTGTTGTTCCCTGAGTGTGTTGGTAGAACAGCTGCTTTTCCTGGTGCTATTCAGAGGTCTTTATTTAGCTCCTGCTGGTCTGCAGGCTGTGTTGACAAGGTCATTAGTTCATGTGGTGACATTTCCACCTCCTCCGGACCACACTGTTTCTGTCCGGGTTAGTTTTCATGTCTACAGAGTTAAAGTTTTATCGTGATATTTTGTGACGCTATTGTGATAACGATAAAAGTGACAATAAGAACTATTTATTGCTTCTTTTTTTAGGTAACTGTATGGGAGTGAGTGCATGATACAGCAGTCACAGCCCCACAAACATAAATACTGACCTTGAGAAACACATCATGTGTAATATGCTTGTTTAGGAGACCACTCACATAAAGAAGTGTGATATGTGTCACTAATATGCACACAGTAACTGCATTTAATTATATTTAAAAATGTATTGGTATTTGTTTTTATACTTTTAATGAAAAAACAGTGGAGAAAATAGAATAGTAAAACTAACAATTCTGATAATTTTGCATGACAACTACAAATCAAAATCTTATCATGATAAT